GTCGGCGGGGGCGGGGGGCGGCTCCACGCACAGCTCGGTCTTCAGGCCGTGGGCGAGGCCGGCCAGGCGCGGCGGMGGCGGCTGGTCCTCGTCACACTGGCTCTCGCTCTTGTTGCGGAACAGCTCGCGGGCCTTCATGCCCAGGAAGCTTTTGGCGCTGGGGTAYGAGCCCACGGTGAGCGGCGCGTCTGAAGCCGGCAGGGACGCCAGCAGGTTGGCGTGGGGGCAGGACTGGGCGGGCTCCACCAGCAGCGGCAGCGGCGGCGGCAGCGGAGGAGGCGGAGTCAAGTCCTGACCTCCGTTCATGGAGCTGGCCGCAGACTTGGAAGAGTTGCTCGCCTTTGGCTGCCTCGACGGTAAAGTGGTGCCGTTGCCCCGAGGCGAACCGTGAGGCGACCTGCCGCCCGCCGCCTCACGGGGGTGAACTCTACTTGGTCCATCTGGCATCACCACGCTGGAGGTCCAAACAAAGACAAGAAAACGCAACAAAAATGAACAAATCTTTCCAATAAAACACCTAAAATTCTCACYGTTAGGACATTTAGCAGAACAACCACTAAAAGGTTGTCGTTTACTGTGATTTCTGGGCGTGGTGCTGCTTATAGAGTCTGACAGCTGAAGGGAGGAAGGATCTGTGATAACGCTCCTTTGATAATTACCTATCAAACTCAGATAAGTAACTACAGCCTCTAAAACAAAAACATCTCTTTTTTTATTCTGGCACAATCCTTTATATTGTATTTTTATTATTCGTAGTCGTATCATTGCTAGTTAGTGGTAATTTTGTGTACTGTCTATAGTTTGTAAAGTAACAAGTGTGTGAATCTGTACTGATGCTGCTGTGACATCTGAATTTCCCCTCGGCGGGACAATGAAGCTATTTCTATTCCTGAAACCATAATACTAATAATAAAAATACACACAGACTATTTCAAACAGGTAAAGCAAAAACTTAATAATTATCTCTGATATCGTGATACATTTTCCCGCCACATCGCCCAGCTCTACTTATCGTGTTCTTTTTGACCCGGTTTTGCCCGTCCAACACTTTGATAATGATGAGCAGGGCTATTCAACTGTGTGACCAAAGTTCAGCCCGTCCACTGGTTCATTCATCTCACACTCTCGGTTTTCTACTCTAATAATTATAAGTTCTTTCAGTTAAACACAGACATGTTTGGTATCAGAAACAGCAGAATCTTTGCTACAAGCYGGTAAAAAAACATTTCTATGAACACTCAAGACAGTTAAAACTACAAAGATAAAACTATGAAGGTGAAAATAAAATTGTTTAAAAATTTGGCAAGTCAGAGATGTCAAAGTATTATTTGTGTTAAATAGTGTGTTATTGTTGTTTTTGATGTTTTATTATCACTACTTTTATTCCATAGGGATCTGAAGGTTGTATTCATGATTAAAAACATATTACCTCTAAACATCCAGTTAAATTTTGTTAAAAATGAGAGCTGTTATAATCTTAAGGGGAATGAGATGTTTGTSAAACTTRTATTTTAAAACAGTTTGAAGGAACRATGTGCGTTAAATCAGGGAATAAAATTATAGAAAGTGCTGTTAAAAACGCCAGATCAATGTTTTTGTTTAAGAGAATGATTAAAATTGGTTTGTTGAAGAAATATAAAAAAGAATATTGTTACTCATACACATTTTTTGTTTGAGGAGGATTATTGTTTTTTTTTTAGTTAAAGACTATTAGTATTGTTTATTTTATCTTCTTTTCTTAAAAGGGGGCAAATTTAAAATTTTTCTTCTTTCTGCTGCATTTCATTTTATTTTTGATTTGTATTTTTTTGTTTGTAAAATTTTAGTTTTAAATTAAATTAAATGATTAAACCTTATAAAAAATGCAGCAAAAATAACTCTTTGAAAAGGTAACATCTCTTTGTAAAACTAGTTTTATTTACATAATGACTACTTGCTGGATGTTTGGGCCCTGCCGTTGAGTAATTTCGTTGAATCTTCCTCGTCGGCCATGTTGGTTTTCTCTGACCTCACGTTTGATCGAGAGGTTTTGTGAGATTTCCCGTCTGACGTCTGAACGTCGGAGAGTCAAACCTGACCTGGAGGCTGCAGCAGCGTGCGTGTCGACTCTGCCCCCTGGAGGTGAACTCCTGCTCCTGCTGCTGCTCCTGCTGCAGCTGCCGGGACCGGCCGGAGCCTCCATCTCCACCCGGCTGTAGAGCTGCAGGAGTTCAGTCTGCAGCAGCTGAGCGATCCTCCTTTGAGCCTGGTACCTGCTGTCTGAGGCCTGCAGCTCCGCCCTGCAGAGAGGGGGGGGGGGGGGGGTTCAGAACAAAGACTTGTGTGATGAAAGAGATTCAAACACAGGAGCAGGTTTTTTATCTTCTCCCTCTGATCTGCAAACAAACACTCACTTCGCCTGACATTTCACGTCTTCCAGGAACTTCTTCTGCTCCGCGATGAGGTGCTCCTTCTTGGAGAGGTGGGTCTCCAGCTCGGCGACCCTCTGCTGCGCCGCCTCCAGCTTCTGGCCCTGGACCACCAGGCTCTGCCGGAGCGTCTCCACTTCCTTGGCGTGAGACTTCTGCAGCATCTGAGCCTCCTGCGGCGGAAATCAGAGGAGGAGCTTYATTTAAAAATAACGCTTAAAAATGGAGGACTAGTGTCTCGTTTGACACTTTCCTCCCGTCGTACCTTTGTTTTACTGGTTCCTGCGTGCTCCAGCTCCTGCACCGACAGCTTATGCGCCTCCCCGAGGAGCAGCAGCTGCTTGTTCAGGAAGCTCATCTGCTGCTGGGTGCTCTCGCTGTTGCTCAGCTGAAGGACAAACGAGACAAACAACGACGACGGAGGACAAAGAAGCAATTAGGCTACAAATAAAAACCTGTCCAAGAGGATTTGGGGAGACGTTACGCTGTGACTTTGGCTCATTCATCAAAAAATACAGAAATAAATCAGCTGCTGTAAATACGTTGTTTAGATTTTACGTCACTTGTTGTAAACGAGCTAAAGGCTAATGCTAGCTTGACACAAGCAGCTCCTCGCTAACTTCTCCAGCAGCAAATTAACAATGAAACACATTTATTATTTCTTTTACTTTGACAGTCATCTGGTTGAGGAGGTGACCGGTGTGTCCCACTTTATTGTTGGCTCTCTGAAGCTCCGCCTCCAGCTCGTCCATCCTCTTCTGACTTTCCTGTAACTTGCTCTGTGGAAAAAAACACTCAGGTTAAAACAGGCATTTAGCTAGAGGGGTGTGATGTTTACAGTCAGGTGATGGGTTTTCTGATGATTTACGACACCTTGGGTTCGCAGAAAGTTGATTTTTTTTTTACACTTCGTAAATTTCGTAAACTTCTGAAAATTTTGTAAGCGGCGCGGGAGTGACTGCGATTAATTTTTTGAAAACAGGGGAAGACACACGAAGGATAAACTGCGGCAGCTTGGATAGAGGTGGGTAGCAATGTTACGGCTTTCTCAGCTGTTGTTCGTCAGTTCATAACTTCTTTCAAGCACATAAATATCGTAAACTTTGTGAGCAGGCAGCTGGGGGTGCCTAAAGTTGACGTCCGCTACCAAAATTGTGCCTAAAAGCCTGGGCTAAACTAAATGATTATGCTTAACGGTAATAAAAATGATAAACTGACAACCGAACATCAGCTCAGGACGCCCTCGTGATTTGAAGGTTTGTTTTTTTAAGACTACGTAAATTTCGTAAACTTCCGTAAATTTTTGTAAACTTCCGTAAATTTCGTAAGCGATGTGGGGGTGACAGCAATAATTGAAGATAGTGGAATACACAAACATAATAAATTGCTGCAGCTTAGGTAGAGTAAGTAGTTAGCGATGTTACAGATTTAGTAGCTGTTGTTGTGTATTGCTTTCACGATCTTCGCTTCCAGTCCATCTGTAACTTTACGTAAATTTTGCAAACTTTAGTCAATTTCATAAGCAGCGTGGGARTAACGGCATTTATTTTATGAATCCAAAGGAAGACACATTCAGAATAAATTGCTTCGGCTTGGATAGAGGAGGGGGTAGCGATTTTACAGCTTCAGTAGATGTGTTTTTTACAATCTCTGCTTACAGTCCGTCTGTTACTTTACATAAATTTGTAAACGTCTGTAAACTTTGTAAGCGTGCGGTTGGGGGTGTGTAATGTTTCAAGGCCCTCTCCCAAAACTGTACCTAAAAGCCGGGATTAAACTAAATGATTTTGTTTAACAGTGATAAAAATGATAAAATAAGAATTAAACTCAGCTCAGGATGCCTTCAGGACACTGCCAATTTTCGGGTTCTCTGAGTTTTTTACACTACGTAAATTTTGTAAACTTCCGTGAAATTCGTAAGTGAGTGGTGGTAACCACATTTAAGGAAGCCAGAAAAACACAAAGAATAAATTGCGCCGTTTGGATCAAGGAGGTAGATAGTGAAGTTCAGCAGTTGTCATAATCTCCGTTACCAGTTTGTCGGGAACTTTACATACATTTTGTAAAGTTTTAAAAATTGTAATTTTATGAAACCAGACGAAGACACAAACAGAATAAATTGTRCCAGTGGGTAGTGATATTACAGCTTCAGTAGCTGTAGTGTGTTATCACAATCTCTGCTTCCGTTCTGTTGGTTACTTTACGGAAATTGTCGTAAACTTCCGTAAATTTAGTAAGTGACGTGGAGGTTACTGCAGTTATTTTATGAAGACAGAGGAAAACATACAGAATAAATTGTGCCGGCTTGGATAGAGGTAGAAGGCCATGTTGCAGCTTTAGCAGTTGTTGTTTGTCAGTTCGTAACTTATTTTTTGTATGCACATAAACTTTGTAAACTTCCGTAAACTTATGGTGTGTGTGTTTGTGTGTGTGTGTGTGTGGGGTGGGGGGGGGGGGGGGGTTTGAAGTGTCGACACACAAAATCCACCTAAAATACTGGGTTAAAGGAAATAATTATGTTTCAAGGTGAAAAAAAAGAAAATAAATCGAGCTTTTAAGAGACGTACAACAAAAGGTTTTTTTTTTACGTTTTTTAAAATCTCGGATCTGAAAAGGTTTGGATCAAAAATTTAAATGGGTTTTGCTGCAGTTCTGAGGGTACCTGCAGCTCCTGGTTCTTGGTGTAGAAGTCATCCCGGCTCTGCTGCAGCTGTCGGATCTGGTTGTGCAGCCGGGTCACCACCGTCTCGCGGTCGTCCCACAGCTGCCGGTAGCGCTGCTGCTCCACGTGCAGACTCTCCCTCAGGGACAGGATGTCCACGCTCTGCAGGTTCAGCTGGTCCTTCTGCACCAGAACGCACCGAGATCAGGTTAAAAGAACCGAAGGAGCTTCAGCCATCTTAGGTGATGTGTTCCAGATGTTTTGTTTCGACGGAGAGCAGCCCAGACTTGCCATGGCGTTGTTCTGCTCCTCCAACGCGGTGGCGTTGATGATGCGTCGGAGGAGGCGGCGGTTGCGGACGGCGTGCTGCTCCCTCTTGTAGCGCTCGTACAGCAGCTGGTTGTGCAGCAGGAACAGCTGGCTGCGCAGCGTGTGCAGCTCGTCCAGAGGAGCCGAGCCTGAGAAAAAAACGAAGAGCAAATCAACCCAGGCGAACATGCACAACGGGAAAATACAATTATTACTACTTAAAGTGTTAAAAAACAACAAAACTGCAAAAACAAATGAAATCAAAAAGTCCAAAATATGGTTTTCTGGTTCAGTGTGGCACACATCATGATGCCAAACATCCCTGTGACTACCACCCATCCTTTAAATAGGCAGACTGACTTACAAAAAAATTTTAAATACCTAATAAACAAATTAAAAATATTGTAACCAATATGGTGACAAAAAGTCTGAAGAAAATCCGAGTCTATCCAAAGGGCTGACTATCCACATCCCTGTTCAATTAAGGTCTTCACCGAATGACTGACGGATGTTTAACTCCGCCCCCTCAGTTTGTTTATCATTGGTGCTAATGTTGTTCAGCCCATATAGTAAATTTCACAATAATAATTGATATTTGCTTCAATTCACCGAAAATGTTTGTGCCGATGGGTCACCTGACCCAGCAAAGGTTTTCAGGTCTGAAAACAAACCTTTCTCCCCATGAGGCACAAAAAAGACAAGAGAAGATTGAATGAACGTGCCATGACTCCCATCAGTTAATTATCAGGTCCAGAGCAGGAACCAGCAGTTTCATTCTGAGAAGCAGAAATTTAGATTCCTGTGGCAAATGTTAACTTAAACCTAACAGTGATGACTGATGAGCTCGTGACGGATGATTAGATAACGCCCCGACTGCAGCGCTTATGAAAGAAGCTTTTATCAGAGCGGTGGAGAGTAAGTATTTTTTTAAGGTGCAATCATGATTCAGGATCTGAGTCACAATCCTCACCACAGTTTCAGTTTAAAACTCATGATCTTGTGACTCGTTGGACCGCAGCAGTTCAGCTGCAGGCTCGACTGACAGTGAAGGAGGCGCGGTATAACCTGTCCTGGTTTGAGCTTGTGTTCTACCTTTCAGAGCAAAAAAATTAACTTTGCAAAAAATAAAATGGAGAAAGGATAGAAAGAACAAACCACAGAAAAGAAAGAAACCAAAGAAAAAAAGAAACAATCAAACCAAGAGAGGAAAAGAAATTAGACCCAAACTGAAAGGACCAAAACAAAGAAACTAAACCAAGAAGACCAGAGAGATCAAACCAAAGAAACCAAAGATATCACACCAACAAGACCAAATAGATCAAACCAAAGAGACCAAAGAGATCAAAGAGATCACAACAAAGAAATCACACCAAAGAGATCACACAAACGAGACCCAATACATCAAACCAAAGACATCACACCAAAGAGATCAAACCAAAGAAGAGACCAAACCAAAGAGATCAAACCAAAGACCCCAAAGAGATCACACCAAAGAGACCAAATCAAAGAGACCAAAGAGATCAAATCAAAGAGACCAAAGAGATCACACCAAAGAGATCAAATCAAAGACACCAAAGAGATCAAACCAAAGAGATCAAACCAAAGACACCAAAGAGATCAAACCAAAGAGATCACACCAAAGAGATCAAACCAAAGAGATCACACCAAAGAGATCAAACCAAAGAGATCACACCAAAGAGATCAAACCAAAGAGATCACAGCAAAGAGATTAAACCAAAGACACCAAAAAGATCAAATTAATGAGACCAAAGAGATCACAACAACCAAAGAGATCAATCCAAAGAGACCAAAGAAATCACACCAACCAAAAAGATCAAACCAAAGAGACCAAAGAGATCAAACCAAAGACCTTTTTAATACCATCTTGAATGAAATTTAAGACCGAAAATATAAGCGATGGTTCTGCAGAGACGGCCGGGGGAGACGGAGAACTTTAATCGCTTCTGCCTGACAAAATTTAAGACCTTTGAGTAACAAATTTAAGACCAACTTGCACATTTTAAAATAAATTTAAGACTTTTTAAGGACCCGCAGACACCCTGRAGAACACATCTTTCCCACTTAAGCGATTTAAATTGGTCAAGTGACCAGGACGTGCCATATCATCAAACCCTATTAAACTGGGACTTTCATTTATCGAACTCTAATGTCCTCACTGCGACCCCGTTCTGCTGAATGTTTTACCTCCAAAATGTGTCCAGTCAGCTGACTTACTTGGCAAAGGTAATCTGCAGAGGGGGAAAAAAAAGAAGTCATTAAAAGGATCGTAGACACCAAACGTCCCAGTTCTATGAAATGAGAACCAAGTTGGTGAGCTGGTCCCTCACCTCTTGAGAACTTTATCGTGGGCGTCACTCCCCTGCTGAACAAGGCGATCCAGCACCTCCAGTGGCGAAGCAGACACGAAACCCTCCTCCTCCTCCTCGCCGTCCTCCAGCCCCTCCTCCCGCTGCAGCAGCCTCTCCATCGTGGACTTGTGGACCGCCTCGGACGTCCTCTGGCCCATGAACAGCGAGGCGGCCCGGGGCAGGGCCAGGTCGAAGAACGACTCGTAGGGCACCGGCGCCGGGGTCTTGCCGCACGGGCTCGGAGAGAGCGTCCCGAATTTTCCTGCCTCGTCTTCGGGCGCCGACGGGCTCCTGTGCAAGTGATGCTCGATGGGGGTGAAGCCGGACTGGAAGGACCAGGACTGCTCCAGGGAGGAGCTCCTGCAGTCCCCTCCGGCGAGGCCCCTGTCGCTGCCGACGGAGACCTCGGTCTTGTCCGGCGTGGACGCGGCGCGGCGCCGTTCCCGGGCGGGGGCTCCGGGGTCCGAGGAGGTCTTGTCCTGCGTCTGGCTGCCGGTCAGGGTCTCGGTGGTGTGAAAGAAAGGAGAGTCGAAGCCCCGCAGGTCCGGCAGCTCCTGCTTATCCTCGGTGAGCTTCAGCAGCTCCTCGGTGATGGCAGCTGCAGCACAAACAAACAATAAACAGAGAGGACTAAATCCATCAAATCAAAGCAGCTCACGCTCACTCACCTTCTTCTCTCTCCTTTTCCGTTCGCAGCTGAAGGTCCAGCTCCTGCTTCTTCATGAAGACCGACAGCTCCGTCAGCGTCATCGACACGTTCGCTGACGTTCCTGCGTCTGAGCAGAAAAACACGTCACAAACACACGTTTTAAGAAAATAAGAGTCGAGAAAACACAAAAACAGCCGGTTTAATGTCGTGGTCACTGCTGGGAGGATGGATTGATCTCATTCAGGTTAGCTTCACAGGAAATAACAGGTTTGAGCTCATTAAAAGCACATTTGTGGCTTAAAATTTCAAGTTTTAGGTCTTCAGATACATCCTTTGATCCTGCCTGGTTTACAGTTTTAAACTTTATTTTTGCTTTGTGAGTCTAGGTGATTTTATGCAGGCTTTTATTTTGAAAACACACCTGCTGACATTCTTTTCACAACAGGGTTTCCCGCAGCGCGTGTAAAACCTGGCGGGGAGGCATGTACGTTTAACCCCCACACAAGCAACAAAGTCATTACCTGGATGTGTCGAGGTAAATTTTTTAAGAAGTTGTCTAACCTCTGATGGTGGACCCCTCTACGTTCTTCTCCGTCTCTCTGACCGGTTCCTGTCTCACCAGTCCAGGTTTGCCGGTTTCTCCTTGCCGACGATCCTTAAAATGTCAAAAACATTTCTTTAATTTAAACCTTTTAAAAAAGAAAATACCGTCTTACTTTACAACTTCAATCATCTGAGCAAAGAAACCAGCAGGTATGAGATTAAATATTAGATTAAATCTTAAACAACTCAGCTAAAAAAAAAAAGACAACTTGCTACTGTTTTCAGGTGTTAAAATATTGCTGAGTTTGCATTTTCGATCGTGTGGAAACATCTTACTCTTCTCGGAGGACTGGACTGGACCGTGTTGGCTGGTAAGGAGATAACAGGGAAGTCATCTGACAGAGCAGGAGGCGGGGAGGAGGTGGCGGGAGTGCTGGAGGCCGGCGTTCCTTTCCCCCCTGATCGACAAAAACACAAAGACAGAAATTTCGGCTGCGACACTAAAACGAGGCGAGGCGGGGGGGGGTCTGAGGCGTACCTGATGTGCAGTGGAAGCGACTCGGAAAGTGGGAGGCACTGTGGGAGAGCTCCAGATTGGGCGACATGCCCCTCGAGGAAGGGGGCGTGGCCATGCCACACAAAGAGGAGGGGCTCCACAGAGGGTCCTTCCCCCCACAGGAAGAGTTCAGTTCACAGGTGGAGTTCTGCACGATGAGAAACAGAAAAGTAACGCTTTGTTTCACAACTTAAAAACAGTTAAAGCAAAAAACCAAAGAGATCAATGTGTTTAAAAACCTTGAAAATGTGTTAAAGTCTGGTATTTCACTTGTTCACCCTTTCATTTCACTGAGACCGTGACATCGTTGTCAGGACATTACTCCCCCGGTCATTAATTACTGACCAATCCTGCGTTGTGAAACACGGGTTTCTGACAGCTCCGGATCCCCATTATGGATGGTCTTACCTGCCGTCTGGAGGTCTGCGGGCTGCGGTACGAGGACTGTGTCCCTGAGAAGGGGGGCAAGGACAGGGGCGGGGGCAGCGGCTGCCGCGGAGTGGAGAACGGGGTCGACGAAGAGCTTCCTGTTGTCAAGAAGACAAACGGTTTGATCAATTTRGAAATCAACACCGGGAAAAAACAAGCCGACATCAGATTCAGGTCTCAAAATTACCTCAGTGGTATACAATATAACTAGAAAATATCTAAAAAAATTAAAAAGGGCTTGCCAAAGTGTGCATAACTTGAAACCAAAGGAAGGCAGAAAACCCCTCAAAACCTCCAAAAAATTCTAAATACCAGGTAAAAGGGACCTAAGAGGGCTGAAAACCCATCAAAACCACTAAAACCTAGGTAAAAGGGGCCTAGGAGGACCAAAAACTAAAAACCTTCAAAAACAAGGTAAAAAAGGGGCCTAGGAGTGCTGAAACCCATCAAAAACACCATAAAGCAAATAAAAAAGGGAGTAGGAGGGCTGAAAACCTCTCAGAACCACTAAAATCCAGGTAAAAGGGGCCTAGGAAGACCAAAAACAACTAAAAACCTTCAAAAACCAAGTAAAAGGGGCCTGGAAGTGCTGAAAAACCCTCAAACCACCATAAAACAAGTAAAAAGTGCCTAGGAAGGCTGAAAAACACTAAAAACCGCTAAAACCCAAGTAAAAGGGGCCTAGGAAGACCAAAAACAACTAAAAACCTTCAAAAACCAAGTAAAAGGGGCCTGAAAGTGCTGAAAAACCCTCAAACCACCATAAAACAAGTAAAAAGGGCCTAGGAAGGCTGAAAAACACTAAAAACCGCTAAAACCCAAGTAAAAGGGGCCTAGGAAGACCAAAAACAACTAAAAACCTTCTAAAACCAAGTAAAAGGGGCCTGGAAGTGCTGAAAAACCCTCAAACTAACATAAAACAAGTAAAAAGGGCCTAGGAAGGCTGAAAAAACCCTAAAAACCACTAAAATCCAAGTAAAAGGGGCCTGGAAGTGCTGAAAAACCCTCAAACCACCATAAAACAAGTAAAAAGGGCATAGGAAGGCTGAAAAACCCTAAAAACCACTAAAATCCAAGTAAAAGGGGCCTGGAAGTGCTGAAAAACCCTCAAACCACCATAAAACAAGTAAAAAGGGCATAGGAAGGCTGAAAAACCCTAAAAACCACT